CTATTTCTCTTTCCTGTTGAGGTGCTTTCTGCCATGATTTGACGCGTTATGGTCTTTGTTTCCCGTGGCTCTGCAGAGCCTGCTCCAGGGCTGCCGGGGTGTTTGCTGGGTTAAGACCAGTAAGATGTGGCTTAACCAGTAAGATTGTGGCCTTGAGCAACCTGCTCTAGTGGGAGGTGTCCCTGCCCATGGCAGGGGGGTTGGAACTCGATGATCTTTGAGGTCCCTTCCAACCCAAACCATTCTATGATTCTATGTTGCACGAGAAGAGCAGCGCCTCCAATTGTGGTACCCAAAGCCAGACCATCAGGTTTTGTCATCTCGTTTCCTTGATTAATTCATTCTCCATCATTGCTCGGGTGGGGAAGAGCAGATTGGTTCTTAAAGGTATTGTTCTTTCAAATTGGATCTGGTTCTGTTAACAACTCGTGCAGGATGCAATCCCATCCCAAATCCTTGCTTCATCTAAAAGCCACCAAGAGCATCCTCCTTATCCCTTTGCCAGGACCAGGGCGATGCCATCGATGCCACGGTGATGGCCACACCACCCAAGGATGCTGGCAGGAGAGGGGCACGTTTCCACCTGGATTAATTCAGGATTGCTGCAGCTTTTGGGTAACAAAAGCGGGGTCTGTGTGGAGTGGGGGTTCTTCTCTGCTCTCTGCAGAGATACCTGTCTCTTCTCCTCCACTTCTACCCACCAGGGCTGTGACAATCTGATGACCCCTCGGCTGGAGCTCCACGAGCAGAGCCGAGCGCGGTGGGGACTCCCACATCCCAGAATAGTTTTCCTCCTGAGCTCTGTGGCTCTTCCTGCCCAAATCTCTCATTGCATCAGGCTTTTTTTTTTTTTTTTTTTTTAAATAATCAGCCCCCGTGGTTATTTCAGTTAGCACTAATTAGTGGCATGAACTAATTAACGTGGGTTGACTTTCCTCTTCTCTTTCTAATGCTTTTTTAACCCACTGACACATTCCAATTAAGGGACTCATGCAGGGACCGGACTGGAATGACTCAGAGCAATCACAGTTGGAATAAATCGTGTGCTTTACTGAAGGTCACCAATATTTTTTCCAAATTGCCGCCGTTGCGTGTGTGTGCTGCCAACAGCGGGGTGACCTGACCTGATGAGAAACATCTCAAGTATCTTCGAGTTTGCCTCCCTTTGGGTGCGAGCAGCTTCCCGGGTACCACGTCCATGGGCGTTTGCTCTGCCGAGAGTGGTAGCCCAAAAAATAGCTGGGGGTGGAGGGGCTTCTCATCAGGACTGTGGACCTTGAGGCGAGTAGTCTTGACCTCACGAGGACCTTGTCTGCATCTGTCTGATGGAAATAGAGGGTCCATGCTGAGTGATAGCCCCTCCTGCTCGTAGAAGTGGTTTCTTTCCCCCCCCCAAGGGGGTTATTGTCACTCTCTGGGTCCTGCAGGCTCTGGCCGTGCCCTGGGCTCGCTGCCCTGCCTGCACGGACCAGTAGCAGTGGAGAGGTTTGGGCTGGGGGGAAGCCACAAATCAGGTGGTAATAAACTAATTAACGTGGGTTGACTTTCCTCTTCTCTTTCTAATGCTTTTTTAACCCACTGACACATTCCAATTAAGGGACTCATGCAGGGACCGGACTGGAATGACTCAGAGCAATCACAGTTGGAATAAATCGTGTGCTTTACTGAAGGTCACCAATATTTTTTCCAAATTGCCAGCGTTGCGTGTGTGTGCTGCCAACAGCGGGGTGACCTGACCTGATGAGAAACATCTCAAGTATCTTCGAGTTTGCCTCCCTTTGGGTGCGAGCAGCTTCCCGGGTACCACGTCCATGGGCGTTTGCTCTGCCGAGAGTGGTAGCCCAAAAAATAGCTGGGGGTGGAGGGGCTTCTCATCAGGACTGTGGACCTTGAGGCGAGTAGTCTTGACCTCACGAGGACCTTGTCTGCATCTGTCTGATGGAAATAGAGGGTCCATGCTGAGTGATAGCCCCTCCTGCTCGTAGAAGTGGTTTCTTTCCCCCCCCCAAGGGGGTTATTGTCACTCTCTGGGTCCTGCAGGCTCTGGCCGTGCCCTGGGCTCTCTGCCCTGCCTGCACGGACCAGTAGCAGTGGAGAGGTTTGGGCTGGGGGGAAGCCACAAATCAGGTGGTGATAAAGCCCTCGAAGCTGCTGTCGCAGTGTTTATAGCTCATTTAGCTAAATGCTGGTTGGAGCCATGAGGAAGCTGAGTTTCTGCTCCATAAAACCTGGTGTTCCCGGGGTCTCACTCTCTGGGTCCTGCAGGCTCTGGCCGTGCCCTGGGCTCTCTGCCCTGCCTGCACGGACCAGTAGCAGTGGAGAGGTTTGGGCTGGGGGGAAGCCACAAATCAGGTGGTGATAAAGCCCTCGAAGCTGCTGTCGCAGTGTTTATAGCTCATTTAGCTAAATGCTGGTTGGAGCCATGAGGAAGCTGAGTTTCTGCTCCATAAAACCTGGTGTTCCTGGGGTCCGAGGTGAGGGAGAGCCCCGTGCAGCGCTGGCAAACCCTTCCCGTGTGCTTAAGCTTGAGACTTTTACTTCTGCAGCCTCAAATTCCCATCCTGGCTTCTCCTCGGCTTGGAGTTTTTCAGAAAGTGATGCTACTGCTTTCCCAGAGGTGAAAGCTCCTTCAGCTTCAGCTGGACTGGGCTCTCCTGGGTATTGGGACACCACACTGCAGCCTGTGACCTTCCATCCTCTCTCTCTTTTTCCCTTCTCTGAGTCAGGTCTTGATGCTGGAGTTCCTCTCCGTCCTCACTGCACCATGTTAGATCCAGGTTTGGCTGGAAAACACTTGTTTTTCTACCTGCTTTTCCAGGTACCGCTCCTGAGACGAGGTGCGGAGCTGCTGGTGTCTCCCGGGGGGGGTGGGATCTGGGGTGGGGGGGTCTCCCTTTTCCCACTGGGATTTAAACACGGGCACCTCATGGGTTCATCCTGTCGCTGCGGGGTGAGCGGAGGTGAAAGCACCCTGATTAAACTGCAACAGAGAGCGGACAGCAAATATGTCATTAGTATTAATAGGGCTGGTCAGACTGTATTATGCAAATGAGGGGAGAATAGATGATTTAGTTATTCATCTTTAACCTTTATTGTTGTTTAACGTGACCTTACCTGCCAAGTCTCTCGTTACCAGCTCTGGCTGTTCAGGGGATGTTGGTTTATTCTGCTGCCATCGATCCCACAGCTACACCCCTGGTCCCAGTGGTGATACTGGGTGCCACCAGGACATCCCTCCTTGAAGATGCTCCCATTTATTGTTGTTTAACGTGACCTTACTTGCCAAGTCTCTCGTTACCAGCTCTGGCTGTTCAGGGGATGTTGGTTTATTCTGCTGCCATCGATCCCACAGCTACACCCCTGGTCCCAGTGGTGATGCCAGGACATCCCTCCTTGAAGATGCTCCTGGGGGCTGGTCCCCCTGCCCTGCGTGGGGATGGGGACTCGGGGTCCCTCTCCCCATGTTCTGGGTGGAGCTGGTTACACTGGGTCATACTGGGACGAGTTCCCATCTCTCAGCTGGGCGGTTATTCCTCTAACCCTGCCTTTCCCATCAGGTTTGGAGCTCCATCTGGGTGGGTTTGAGCAGCCCGTGGGCATCCAGAGATGCAGACATTCCTGCTGCATGTCCAGCATTGGGGGGGAAGATGGGGAGGGGGGAAAGCAGAAACGGTGTCTGCCAGGATTTTTTGGCTGATGTAAATAAAGATTCTGGCAGATCGTCGCTCTCGGCTGGTTTTCACAGCCTGGTCCCTCTTGCCACAGGGCGTCTGCTCCCATTCCCTGCAGACTCTCCACATAGCTGGAGGGTATTGCTTTTGGCCGTCCCTCTCTGCTTTCTGGAGGTTACAAATGGGGTGGGAACATATTCCAAGCGAGCCTGGAGAGTTTCGTCAGGCCATCTGGACCAGTCCCACCGAAATAACACCGGGTGGTTGTGAACATAGTGTTTCGTCTGATGCTCCAATGGGTTCAGTTTTGAACGAGCCATTTCCCTCGCAGACTCCGGCCACCCTGAAGAAGCAGTACCCTACTGCAAAGCCAACTTCTCCAGAGGTCAGCCCAGCAGCTCGACCCTCTCTGGCAGCACTGGATGTCCCTCCTTGTCTGCTGCTCTCCTCCAGGATTTATTTGGAGGGAGTTGAGCCTATGGAACTGCATTTTTTTGTGTTTGTGGAACTGCATTTCTTGCTGTTAATGTGTGTGAATTTTGGCTTTTTCTATCTTTAGCCCCATACAGAATCCCAGAACGATATGGGGTTGGAAGGGACCTCTGGAGATCATCCAGTCCAACCCCCTGCCAGAGCAGGTCCACCCAGAGCAGGTCCCACAGGAATGTGACCAGGTGGGGTTTGAATGTCTCCAGAGAAGGAGACTCCACCACCTCTCTGGGCAGCCTCTGCCAGGGCTCTCCCACCCTCAAAGTAAAGAAGTTCCTCCTCATGTTTAGATGGAACTTCTTATGGTCAAGTTTGTGCCCATTTCCTCTTCTCTTGTCACTGAAAAAAGACTGGCCCCATCCTCCTGACACCCACACTTTAAGTATTTATAGACATTGGTCAGATCCCTCCTCAACCTTCTCTTCTCCAGACTAAAAAGCCCCAAGTCCCTCAGCCTTTCCTCATCAGAGAGATGCTCCAGGCCCCTCAGCATCTTTTGTAGCCCTCTGCTGTTCCCTGTCCTTGAACCGGGGAGTCCAGAACTGGATATAGTTTTCCACATGGGGCCTCACCAGATGGGCCCATAATTCTTGGGCCACGGCTCCTCCTCACCCTGTTCTTGACATTTCTGCTGGAAATGCACGTTTAAATCTAAACAGCTTGATGGTCTGTAGAGAGAGGAGGGAACCCAAAAGACGTGTTTCCATGCAGCTGCTATGACACATGCCCTGGTTGGCTTCCCAACTGTAGAGATGCCAGAGTGGTCCCCACGGATGGGGTTGGGAAAAGACTGATGGGGGAAACATGGGAAAAACCTTAAATTCCTCTCTTGCCTTGCAGGGTTTCAGCGGACCTCCCCACGCAGCCTTTGCCCTGAGCTGCGACCAACGAGCGGTGAAAGAAAAATACGAGCAGGAACCTGCCCATCAGCTGGACTACGAGAGCGAGTTGTCCATCCGGATAGGTAGAGCTGGGCTCCATCCAGGCAAGCATCCTGTCATATACCCACCGCGGAGTGTCCAGGGGGGAATACCCCCCTTAAACTGGCACCCAGACTGTCACGTATGTGATTGAAATTAGATTGGTTTTGACACGTGCATGCAAAATGCACCTCCTCTTCCCTTCTCCGGATCTGTCTCTCTCTGCTGCCTCTTATTCCAAGAATCGTTACTCCTGTTTCTACTTCAGTTCTCAAAACCACTTGCACGTCTGTCTGTGCCTATGAATTATTGATAATTAGATATCTCATTCACCGGGGAAATGAAATCATCAGCTTAGCTTGAGATAAGTTTATTTGCAGCGTGGGCGCAGCTTGCCCTAGCCCTACCCTTGCCAAGTTATGCCACGTTGAAGGTGCCCCGCGACACTGACCCTCGGTGGCCCTCCCTAATTATAGCTGAGGACTGGCAGTCGTGCTGTCACTCCTTATTTTGGAGGTTAATAGAATTGTAGCTGCCAAAGAGTGTTATAAAATGTCTTGCTGGCAGCTATTTCCTCCTTAAATAGATTTTTTTTAAAGAAGGAACCTTTTAGTCAAGGTGGTAGAACCTCGTTGGGCATCCCCAGCTCCCTGGTGCGTGTATGGGATGGATGGTGGCCACCCTTGCACGGGCTGCGTGGGGGATATGTCCCTCCTCTGAGACAACACCATTTTCTTTTACTTTATTTAACAGCAGCTTTTCAGTAGACAAAGGAAATGCAATTTAGTGAATTAATCTTTTTCTCTCCTCTGCTTTCTCTTGGTTGGAGAGAAACTGAAATAGTGGTTTACAATATCTTGAGTGCAATTGGGAGCAGATTGAGAGGAAGAAATGATCCTTCTTTTTGCAAAGAATAGTGCTACCCTCTTAAATTGGGCTCTCCGTTATTTAACTGCATTGCTTAATTGCATGTTTCATAAAGTCTTTTAAATCCAGAGGATTTTTCAGGACTTGAATTACCAGTGTGGATTTTTCCAAAGGGATGGAAGGGAGCTTTGTACTAGACTCAGTGGGCTTTGGATCCTGGATGGCTCTCAGCTCCTGCAAAGTTTTCGATATTTTTGTAAGGTGGAAGCTTTAAATCCCAGGTGCAGTTTAATTTTATTCTTCAGGAAAAAAAAAAAAAATAGTAGGCAGCCCTGCAATTTTCAGAACCGTAAGCTGCTGGGGTTTTATGTTTTCATCTTCTCTTGGTTGCAAACAATAACGGTGCAAATGGTTTTGAGAATAGAAAATTTCCATTAGACTTGGTTGTTTTTCCTCTCTCTGGGGAAATGGTATTAAGAATCTACAATATATTAATTCTTGTATTGTCTCTTGCTATTTTTTTTTTATTATTTTTTTTTTCTTTTCTGCTTACTGAAATGAACTCAGTATTTTAACAAGATACCTCAAGGCTTCCAAGAAAGCAGCTTTCCCCAGCGCTGGGCTGCGCTCTGGGGAACACTCTGGGAACAGAACGGGCGTTTTCAAAGTCTAATGGGTGCTAAGTGGAATGTTTCAGACTTAATCACTGTTGAATCATTGACCCTTCCTTCATATTTACATGTTTTAAAATGGCTAAAGCTGTGAAAACAACAGGGAAAAAAAAAATCCCAAAGCACACCAATGCCATGTTTTGTAGTTGGGGATGGTGGGGAGCAGGGGAACTGGGATGGAGCTGGCTGGAGGCTGGAAACACACAGCTCTCCAGGGCCCTTTGTGTCTGAGCTTTGATTTTAGACATGGAAATGCATATTTAAGGTGGTGGCGTGTGAGGTTTGGAGCAGGAGCGGCTGTGGGTCGTGCTGGGGTGGTGGGATCTCTGTAGATGCAATGAGCAAGTGAGATGGTTTGGGTTTAGAGCTGTAGGAATCATATATCATAGAATGGTTTGGGTTGAAAGAGACCTTAAAGATCATCTCATTCCACCCCCTGCCCTGGGCAGGGACACCTCCCACCAGACCAGGTTGCTCCAAGCCCCCTCCAACCTGCCCTTGAACCCCTCCAGGGATGGGGCAGCCACAGCTTCTCTGGGCAACCTGGGCCAGGCTCTCACCACCCTCACAGCAAAGAAGTTCTTCCCCACATCTCATCAAATCTCCCCTTTCAGTGTCACACTCTTCCTCCTCCACTTGTGGCTCCCCTCCCTGACCCAGAGTCCCTCCCCATCTCTCCTGGAGCCCCTTGAGGGACTGGAAGGGGCTCTAAGGTCTCCCCAGAGCCTTCTCTTCTCCAGGCTGAACCTCCCCAACTCTCTCAGTGTGTCCCCACAGCAGAGGGGCTCCAGCCCTCCCAGCATCTCCGTGGCCCCCCCCGGCCCCGCTCCAACAGGTCCATGTCCTTCCTGTGCTGGAAAGGCAAGAGTTAAACCCATCCTGTTGGGAGAAAAGAATTCTCATTCTGCTTTTTCCCCAGCTGGCAGCGTGTTTGGGTGCCTCAGTTCTTCCCAAATCCTTGGTTTCCCATCACTTGTGAGTTGTTTTTAGGGAGTGAAGACTTGCAGTGCCACCTGGACTGGTCCAGGAGCCCCCCCTCTCCTTCCTCATCTCTCCTCTTCTCCCCTCCTCCCTTGTCCCCCCCCAGCCCATGGTGGCCAG